TATGGGTCAATAATAATAATTAAAATACAACTAGGATATTTAAATCAGCATGATTTACAGAATTTACAATAATTTATTTAATCAGCGAAAATAATCAAATTTCTTCAAATGCAACAATTCTCAATATATTAATTAAATTCCTTCAATTCAAATAATTTCTCATTTATCAATTAAATCTCATTTACAGGAATAACAATTAATTCCTTAACAAGCAAGAATATTAATTCATTAAATTCCAAGAATTTTCTAATTTATTAATTAGCTTCGCAAGCTGAAATAAATTATTAAAGTATCGTGTAATTATTATTATTNTATGCTTTGAGTCCTAAACTACCCGGACTTCAGCATTAATAGTAGCTACACACGGACTCTTATCACCTTATGCATATGTAGCCCCCGCAATTAGCAATAATTATTCAATTTAATCCCTATAGGATAATTTCCCCCTCACAATATTAGACAAGAGACTTACCTCGTCTCAAAGTCCACTTTCCGATTACCACGTCGTATTGAATTCTCGATTCGACGCCGAAAATCCGCAACTATCCAAATATTATACAAAATAATTAATATATGCTAAATGATTCAAAATTTATCTATTAAATAAATTACCTTATCCAAAATGGTAAAAATCTTAAAATTCACCCCACGTGCTCAGCTTCTGAAAATTTCGGATGAAAACGTTACTCATAATCTCAAGAACTTAAATATATAATTTCTACCCAATTCCATAACTATTTTCGTGGTTAAAAACTTATTTTTATATAAATCTAGGTTTTTCACCTAAACCCTTGATTTCTAAGATTTACTAGTTATAATCTACCTATAATCTATGTATTTAACTCAAGGAGTGTGGAATTAACTTACCTCCAAGTTGTTAGTTGAAATCTCCTCTCAAAAAGCTCCAAAATCGCCCAAGAATGGAAGAAAATGGGCAAAAATGATAAATTTCCGTTCTTTTAAGCTTTCTGCCAAACAGGTCTTTCGCACATACGGAGGTTGGGACGCACCTGCAGCTTTCGCAGATGCGACAGAAGCTCGCAGGCGTGGCACTCGCATATGCGAGATTTCTTCGCAGAAGCGGAAAAGGGAAGGGGTTGTGCACCTGCGAACGCGCAGATGCGAAGAAGGGTGCGCAGAAGCAACCATGGCCCAGGCGAGTGAAACTCACACCTGCGAGGATTTATTTTGTAGGTACATATATGTATAGCGGCCTTGTGGTCACAGGGGTGTGGTTAATAATTGTGGGGACATAGGTGAGCTGCATTCTATATTACGATCTGCAGCTAACAGAGTCTCCTTCAGAGTTATTATATTTTCCTGTCTAATTATTTTCTGGACATATGATGTATTTTATTTTTAATTCCCTAGTAAATACTCATGCACTTGTGATACCGGATTTTGGGAATGGTTGTGAATTGTTTAGAAATTTAGTTGCTAAAAATATTTATCATTTACTCTATGAGTTTTATTTTTATTATTTCATTGAAGAACTTTTGATTTCAAAAATACTAAAATGGGTAATTAAGTGAAGTCTGTATTGTTGTCTTGCCTGACAGCGGTGTCCGGTGCCATCACGACCTTAATGGATTCTAGATCGTGACACTTATGGTGCTACACCAATTTTAGCCCGCAAAAAAAGTTCCCACGGGCATCTATTAAAGTTGCCAAAAAGTAGGGAATTACAATTATAGTGTACTGATTGCAATATACCGGAATTAGCTAAGAACTTTGTCGTTAATTTATCGTTAAGTCGTTCGTAGCTAATAGAATTTTTTGATAATATCTCGCCAATCCGTTGTTAAGTAAGATTAGCGATGAATTTTACTATTTAGCTATAAAATTTGTTTGTCGTTAATGTTTGTTTTTTTCAGTAGTCTCTATCTTACCCACTTAGGTGCAGAGTTTTACACCCTTCTCCTACTTTATTTCCATAGACCATTCGTGTCATAATAAAGAGTAGTCTGAAACAAATATCTACCGATTAAATCTCATACGTATAACTATTTCTATTATCAGTAATATTTTGCTACTGTTTTAGCTCTGAATTCACATGATTATATACCAACCTTCGGAGAACCATAAAGATAACCCAGAATAAGAGTTGGATGGATTAGTCATAAATTTATAAAGTTTTGTATTACAAGTGTTGTATATTATACATAAATAATAAAGTAATCTTATGTTGTATATTACAAGTGTATACCCATTACTAGAAAGAAGTAGTTGGTGCATTTGCTAACCTGAGACATTCAAAACTCTGCACACCTAATTTGGAAAGAGTTTAAGTTATATACGTCGTCATTTGCTCTAAACTTTGCTTGCATTTTTCATTTTCAATCTTTTTTCATTTGGTTTATTATACTTCAATTCAGAGACATTTTCTTTTCCTTTTCTTTCTTTTTCTTTTCTTTCTTTTCCTCTTTCTTAGTCGGTGGGAAAACCCTAGCCACATTATCCCGTTCTTTAATTAGTTAAATTTTAAATATAATTATTTTGGAAGGGGCATATTCTGATTTAGTTACTTTATGTGAATTAGTTGTATTATGATTGATTTAATTATGTAGTTGTATTACTATTATGATTGATTAAATTATGTGAAAAAATTTATCTAGATAGAACGTAATTTGATATAAAAATGATTCAAACCTAATTCAGATGGTTCAATGAAATGTCTATTTACGAATTGATGAAAACAGAAATTAACTTAAAACTGACTGAATTAAACAAAAATATACCCGTATCTTAGACTGTCAAAATTCAAAAGATAGTATTGGCCTTATTCTTAAGCCATTATTTAAGAGCTGTTTTTTTATTGTTCTTTTTTTTTTCTCCTCATCTTCAAATAATATAAGCACGTGCAATGTAATGTTTGAAATTTAAGGCTTTGGTCAATAGGAAAGGATCGCTATTTAACATGGAGTTACTGATCGTACACGTGAACATGCCCCTACGTTATTCTTGGGACTTACTATAATTCCCCTACTTCAAGAATTTTGTTTTCCTTCTTTTTATTTATTTTCTTAGACTGGTATGTAAATATTTTAAGGTTATTTCGTTGTAATTATAACTGATGGTGAAAAAAGCTTTTATCTTATGTGAAATTTATGAAAATTCGAAATATCGGTAATGTTAGAAGACGACCATAGACATTTGATGGTCAGATGCCTACAGTCGGTATATCTTTGAAAGCTCGGACGAAGAGAATAAACGGACTCCTCGAGGGAACCAGTCACGGAGCTCTCAACTGAGTTGTTTAGGTTCTGGAATTTCATCTCTAGTTGGGGGTTTTGATTCGAAAAAATGTGGTGCGGGTTCATCTCTCTCGACCAATTCAGGTTCAAGGGAGGGTGATCGAGGGGACCCAGACTTTCGATCTCTTCTCTATGGCGGGAGGTTTCATTCGTATCAAGAGTGTGTTGGAAAGGCCAGGGAAGATGGATTGGATCGAGAATGATTGAATGCTAGAGGTGACAAATGAGCAAATTCGATCAAGATTGGGCAAAAATACCACATTTTTAGATCCATGTTCGATTTGCCTCATGACCAATCAAAGGACAGAAGAAAAAAAGAGAAAAATTTATAAGGTTGAATTACATAAAAGACATAGTAATTACTTAATAAATTAGGAGGTTGTTACAAACAATGGCGGAATTAATATTCAAAAAATGCAAACTAGCTTAGTGAAAGAATAAACTTAATTAAGTATCAACGAGATATTCAACAATTCATATATATACAAAAACAAAAACAAAATATTTTCACTCAGTTTATATCGTGTAATTTTCGACAAAGTCAACACACTTTAACTCCGCCACTGATTGAGAAATGCAATTAAGTGAGCTCATCTCACTAAGCAAATCAACACAACATGACTCAATTTAAACTCATTTCATAACATTCACAATCCATATTAAGTAATGGATCAAGTTATCACTCACCTCTTGCCTTTGATTTACTAGGGCTCGTTACGAATGATCAAATTCTAAGAGCTCTTCGACAATCAAAGGAGAAACACGTAAAAGAGGGTATTAAACTCATTAGAACAAATAGCTAATTCCATTCCCATGCTGGAACTCAAATATTAACCCTAACTCAAATCTCTACACAATGTAGTTGAACATATTTTTCTCAGAAACAAAACACATTAACGTTGTTGGCTTCACACCATTCAAAAGTGAAAATAACATGGTGAATCTTGCAACACAAAGTCATTAGAATCATTGTAAAAAAGATAATTACACAAATTGCAGACCGAAATTCTTATTTACTTTTTCTATTCGTTATAGAAAGATTATACATTGATTATACACAATTTCAAACATATGATATATGAATTATACATATATTTACATCCGCCAGCTTTTTTTAGTTTGAACGATTGAGTAATCTGCTATTTTAGGTGAATTCTTCAGCAACAATAACAAACTCAGTGTAATCCCACAATTGATATCTAAGGAGGATAACATATACGCAGACCTTACTCGTACCAGAGGTTACTCTCGGCTCGAGGGACAAATAAAAAAGATTCAGGTGAATTCTTCATTAAAAAAAATAAACAAAAGCCTGCATGCAAGTTGCAGCTTTGGCATCAATTTCCATAGCAGTGGGCAAAACCATATTCAGTCAAAAATGTGTACTCCTAATACTGTTTAGAAATGTTGTCTGCTTCTCAATCCAATGGTACTAACCCTGAATATGATAGTCTCATTTACCTAACTCCCTTTACTATCAAAGGACAATAACCATTCCATTAAAACTCATGTGAAAAGGTATAAATGCAAACTTCAAGAAATTTGACCAAGAAAAGATACCACTAATTTAAAATAATAAAAAATTATCTAGCTAGTATTGCAATGGTAAATTCGTACATATTGTAGATAAACCAAATGTAGATAAAAAAGACTAAAACAAGGTAACTCAAACCAAGTATAAATAAAGTAACCTTAAGCATTAACCATATGTACATATATAGCCACTGCAAGAATATAGACCAGAGGCTGCAAGTTGCAGTTGCATAAATACTATATATAAATAGTTTCTTCTTTTTCATATATTCATGGAACCAATTAGAGAAAGCGAAGAACACAACAATAATTCAGAAGATTGTTGTGGTGAGAACTCAAAGAACTCAAAATCATTTGGAAAGAAATGTAGTCATATATCAAAGAAACAAAGGGCTAAGTTTTACATTGTAAGAAGATGCATTGCTATGCTTGTGTGTTGGCGAGATAGGAAAGATCACTGAAGATTGAAGATTGAAGATGTTCTCATAACTTGCCTGCAGATTATAGCTTTTGTAGAGAAGAAGGTGTACTTAGAGATTTATCTAAGAGTATGTTGATATAATCCTCAAAAGTTTGAACTTATTTTAAGCTAATTCTATTTATTTGTAGTGTTCTTTGCTCGATCAAACATATTACGTTAGTCTTCGATATTGAAATCTTGAAGTGAGTTAATTTCTTTCTTACTTACTTTCTTCCATTCTTTCTTTTTTTCGAGTAGGGGTAGACGGATTCGGACGAACCAAATAACTTTGGTCCAAAATTTATATTTGTATTAAGAAATTCATTGAATATGTATAAATTACTAACATAATCCAGTAACTTAAAAGATCTGAAACCATAAACTTTAGATTGTGACCTGACTTTATTTTCAGGAGGTAGCTAGGTGGGTGAGTGGAGGGTGAGACTTTGTTTTGGTGGTTTAATTTTGACATATGGTCATCATTAAAATTGCTTCACATTTCCTTTAAACATTTAATATAATCCTTCTTCTTTTGATCATTTTAACATATGATTATTTAAAGTAGAAATATACAATAATAGTTTTAAGTATGCTTTGCAGTTATGTAAATTAATGGAGTTTATTGACTAGTCTTGAGTGAGCATTTGTTTTGGTCCTTCACTATTTTTACTGTTTTCTTCTTTACCACAAGCAAATTTATGATGAGTGTATATGAATTAAACTTATTGCTTCCAATAGAGTAACAATTTAAGGGGAGGATTATATGAAACAATATGTTAGAATTATTATGATGGTTTTTGAAGCTTTTGAAATTGTTGCTCCCCAAACACCAACTGTAAATGCTTTGCCAATTCAGACATTCTAATCAATCTTGAATCTTTGTTAACAGGACACTAGCTAGACATGTCTCAAGCATCATTCATACTATTTTCCTTGGATTGTATGATGTGGAAATAAGTGGCACTATGTGATGTCCAAATCAATTGGAAAGACCAACTTCTCATCTTTACAATCTTGAAACGTAGACTATCAAATTAATACTTCCCCTCTTTCATTTTATATGGTATTGTTTTGTTTTAATCTGTTCTAAGAAATGACATGTTAATATGTTTAAAAAGTTTTAACTTTAAACTTTTTATTTTATCTTTAATGGAATATTTACAAGTGCTAAAAAACAATTCTTCTTAAACTTTGTTCAATCAAAAATCGTAGCCAATAGACTTACATATGAATATATAGGTAAAGTTCTAGTTTCTGGAAAGTCAAAATTCTATTGATTAGATAAAACAAAACTTTTCTTAAAACCTTTGTAAGCAAATAAAGAATATGAATTTGTTATTAATTAAAACAGGCCGATTAGATTGCTCTAAAATTAAGAATAATTAAACAATCCATCGATGTGTGTGTATACCTTTTTAATGTATATTCAAAAGTATGTCTAAGAACTTTTTTTTCATTCACCACGTCAATTTAGATATTTTAAAACTCAAAGTGGATTATAAAAATAAAAGAAATACTGTAATACATAAAAGTCTGGTAGTGGAGGGCTGCATAATTAACTAGGACTTCTTATATGGTATCGAGAAGAAAGGACAATTACTAACATCATTTTAAAGTGATTCCTAGTACTTATATCGGGTCTTACTAGTAATTCTTTTTCTTTCTTTTTTTCTGCATTCGGGCCTTACTGAAAAAGTTAGTATATTATATTATTTTTGAAAAAACCATTATTCCAATGTAGTATACTCACTGTTTCATTTTTGGGGACAATTACTAGTGGAACTTTTAAGTTCAACTCTGAGAAAGGGCATGGACATTATTTATTTTTTTTAAAAAGAACTGGGTGCACTAAGCTCCTATTATGTACGGGGTCCGGGGAAGGGTCGGACCATAAAGGTCTATTGTACGCATCCTTACCCTACATTTTTGTAAGTGGCTATTTCTACGGCTCGAATCCGTGACCTCCTGATCATATGTCAGCAACTTTACCAACTACACCAAGGATTTCTTCAAACATAAACATTATATGTACTCCAAATAGGCCTTGCTAGCCTAAACTTGCAATCTTAAGAATTATCAGTCAGAGCATATGTTTGACAAGTTGAACTAGAAATGAGATATACAAGCTTCCGAAAGTGAAGTAACTAGCTCTCTTCTTCTACCCTTATATTTAGAAAACGTGCCTTACACATTGAGTATTAATTTTTTTTTATTATTTCTCATTCGCTGTGTATTATCCGTTTTGGCAGGGTCTGATTAATCAGATTTCATGTCCCGTATAAGGTCTATTAAAGAGGAAAACGATCTCTACCAAAAAAAGTTTCACTCTCAAGACTTAAACTCGATATCTTTGCTTAAAAGTGAAAGAAATTGTTGTTGGTTGAAATAAAAGTAATGATTTCTACTTCTCATAAACATTTCTAAAAATCATTTCATTTCATGCAACTTTACTTGATTTAAAGCATAACTTCTTTTTATATTTGGTGCAAAAGCTTTTATTCTTATATAGCTAGATTGAATCTTACACATAATATTAAACAAAAATCATGAAAGTGCTACATGAAATCATGTATATAGTATGAATATGAATATGGGAATAGAAGATGTGAAAAGAAGTACTAGGTCTAGGAGTAAACCGACAGCAAGAATCCTTAGAGGAACGTGCAGTAGTAGTAGTACCTTATAATTGGGGGTTAGGACTTAAAGAGGGGGCTCACTGTCCTCATCACTATTTGCAGCAAAGAAAAGACAGTTGCTAGAGACGCTGCACAAGAAAGTCTCGCCCACCCGTGCGGCCCCCCTGCCTCTCTTTTTTTTAACCTTTTTGGGCCCAAACATCTCTATTTTACTTTCTCCGCTTCTTCTTTTTTTTCTATTTTTTGACAAGAGGGGTTGCTCCGATGGTAAGCAACCTTCACTTCCAACTAAGAGGTTGTGAGTTCGAGTCACCCCAAGAGCAAGGTGGGGAGTTCTTGGAGGGAAGGATGCCGAGGGTCTATTGGGAACAGCCTCTCTACCTCGTGGTAGGGGTAAGGTCTACGTACACACTACCCTCCCCATACTCCACTAGTTGGATTATACTGGGTTGTTATTGTTGTTTTTTTTTTCTATTTCTTATTTCGTTACTGAAGGACTTTTTTTTTTTTATAATCGTGGTGTCAGGGTTATCTTACGCTCAACTCGATTAATTTCACGGGATACTTGTCACCTCCCACCAGCAACAAGAGGTACTTGATAACAGTGGCGGATGTAGCACCCGGATATCGGATTCATCTGAACTCAGTACTTTCAATGCAAAGCATAAATTTATATATAAAAATCCAATAAAATTGCATAGTATATCTGAACCCATAGAACTTAAATCATAAATTAGCCTTTGCCTGGTAACTTTGTCCACCAAGACTTGGACTAAGAAATCACCTACTATTTTTGCCTGCGCTAGGATTTGAACCTGAAATCTCACGGTTCTCATTCACTTTATTGACGGCTAGGCTATACCCTTGAGCGTAAATATTTAATATTTTTTGACCCGACTAATTTAAATAAGTAATATTATGCAAGATTTGCTGAAGTAAAAGCGCTTTCAATCCAGAGTTTCTTTATTCCAAAATTCGAATGAGAGATCACTATTTATGGGTGAAGGAATCACACAATCCCACCATAAGTGATGTTTGACAGTAAGAAGAGCAATTATATCAACCAATAAGGGTTGTGTTGGAGTGGTAGATATTTCTTCATGTCTAATTAAAAATTTCGGGTTCGAGCTCTGAATATAGAGTCGTCTTTATTAGGGAACACTTTATCCTTCCATTTAGGACGTCCCGACACGAATTCGATTTAGTTGAGCCCCATGCGGTTACCAAACACCCGACAACAAATGAGAAACCAAAAAAAAAAAAAAAAAAAAAAAAAAAAAGCAATTATATCACCATCTTCAACCCGTACCCCCCACCCCCCATTTTTGTTGGTGCTTGAAGGTCAAAGTCCAAGGATAATTGGTAAATATGGATCATGGTAAAAATACTTTTGCACGTGAATCTCTGACAAAGTTTGAAATACCATTGCCTCTTATGACCGAAAAGGTATTCACTTGGGTTGATTTTGCTAGGCTTTTATTAGTTACTTCGACGTGGAAATGCACGTATACGCACAAAGTAAGAAAAGTACTCGTACCTTTTTAACCTGAGTTGAAACTACACAGTGTAGAATTTCACTCTGTCAAATTGAAGAAGAATCGGATTTAAAATTTGTACTCATCTTTGTGAGGGAAAAAGTAAGAAAATGGATAGAAAATAGGCCATATTTGCACTAGAAAGTTATTGCAACGGATTTAATTATATCCATGAAAATCCAATTTTACTACATTTTCACCTTCAAAACTTGTCAGCTACAAATCTGGATTTTCTGGTGCATTGATATCTCTGGTTGTAGAATTATTGCTCTATGCACGAAGACCACTTTTCATTTAATTAACATGAATTCACATTTGGAGAATCCGTTTTTTTATTTTTATTTTCCTGCTATTTTTGGTCTATTCCCAGATTTTGGTGCAGCTTTTCGAGATGCATTTTTTAAATTTATTTCTAATATCTGGTGTAGTTTTTTTATGTTGCTTTTTCTTCCACTTGACAGGACTTTTTTTTTAGTATTTATAATTAAATTCTTTTGTAGTTTTCGCTATATCTAACAACCATAGTTTGTCAAATATTTGACATGGTTCACTAGTTTTAACAAACTTAAAAGGATCAAGACTGCTCAAAAATATACTAATGTGCCATTTTGAACTTACCCTTAAATATAAAGATTATTTTGAACCTTCCCAAAACATAAGGAATCATTGTTGTCATTTTTGCTTGATATTCTCATTTCATTTATATTTTTATCATCATTTCATTTTTTGATTAATATTTGTATTTAATTGATTGCTCATAAAAGATAGGTATACTTCTTCGTTTGGGACATAATCTGCAATGACTCTAAATCTTTATATGTACATGTCTCTCCCT